TTGGATGGGGCCCTGATGGCTCTTTGCCCCCTGCCGTTCAGGCATCCTACAGCGCTCCTGCAGAAGGGATGTGCAAGCTTGTAGGAGGGAAATGGTGCACCCCCATGCTAAGGTGAGGCCTGTTACTTAGCAAGGGCCATGGAAATGTTATCTCTCATGGATGTAAGTGGCATGAGAGAAGCTCCCATGGGTCCAATTTGGGCACGCTGTCCCCAGTAGGATCCAGCCTACAAACAGACTGTAGCACACCCTGAGTCCTGGGCCTCTTTCAGCTTCTGGCACCAACAGCTGTATGGGAAGATGTGTGGATGGAGAGGCATTGGCTCAGTGACCTCAGATGAGACAGAACCCACAGCGTGTGGGGTTTCTGTCAGTCCCAATTCCCCCCAGACTGGCACCTTTTCTAAAAATCTCGTAGCCCTCGACTGCAGTGTTCCGCTTGTATGAGAAGAGAAATAATATAGACAAAAATCAAAGAAAAATGTTCGTAACATTTTCTGTTACACCCTGTTGCATAAGTTTGTTGAGTACCTTGTTGATGCTTTCCATGTAGTTTCCACACTACAACCTTGAGCTCCTGGTTCCTCATGCTGTAGATGAGAGGGTTCAGTGCTGGAGGCAACAGTGAGTACAGAACTGCCAAGACCAGGTCCAGAAGAAGAGATAGAGGCTTTGGGCTTTGGGCAAGCAATCATGTCAGTGACAACAGAAAGGGAGACAACAGCCAAGGTGAGGGAGATACATGGAAAAGGCTTTGTGCTGTCCCTGCTGAAAGGGCATCCTTGACACAATCCTTGAGATCTGCACATAAGACACCACAATGAAAACAAAATACCCAAATGCTGAAGAGGCAGTAAAAATAAGAAGCCACACTTCCCTGAGTTAAGCGTCTGTTCAGGAGAGCTTGAAGATCTGGAGGATTTCACAGAAGAACTGGCCCAGAGCATTGCCTTGGCAGATGGAGTGCTAACTTACATGAGCAGTGTGCAACGTGGCATTGAGAAACACCGAGCACCAGGCAGCTTCTGCCATGGCAGCACAAGCTCTGCTGTCCAGGAGCGTGCTGTAGTGCAGGGATTTGCAGATAGCAACATAGCAGTCCTAGGCCATAATGGTGAGAAGGGAATCCTCTGCACTGAATAAGACTTGGGCAGTGCATCCTTCATAGGAAATGACCCTGCTGTCCTGTATGGGAACTGTTAAGTCACAGGCAGAATCAGTGATGGAGTGCATGATGAAGGGGCATAGCCATCCCAGGGAGCACAGGTGGAAGCAATTCACTGGTGTAACAAGGGGAGAAGCCTGTCTCCTCCCTAACCTTATTTAAGGGTTGGCCATGGCAAGGGAAGGAGATTATCTCCTTTGGAGTGTTTGGTGAACCTCAGTCCTTGAAAAGGGGTAAGCAATTCCTTCTTTATTACCAGATTGTGACCTCTACCTTGCTTAGGTGATCTTAAACTGGTTTTTGCCTGTATTTCTGTATTTCTTAAACTGTATTTGCCACTGTCTTTCTCTATGTGTCCAAAAAGGAGTTGCTTATGATTTTGAGAGCAACATCAGAGATGCAGCCCATGTTGAGGATAAGGAGGAAGTACATGGGAGTGTGCAGGCAGTGGTTGCAGGCTGTGGCTGCGACAAAGGCTGTTGCTCAGGAGGGCAGCCAGGTGGATGTCCAGGAAGAACTAGAAGTTGAGGAGCTGCAGCTCCCTTGTGTCTGTAAATGCCAGGAGGAAGAACTCAATGATGGCACTTCTGTTGGTCATTGCTGCCTCTGTTCATAGAGATTGCCAGAGGAAGAAAATAAGAAAAAGATCAGACAAGCTTCTCTGAGGGCAAGACAAGGAAGCTGACCCACGAGGGCTCTTGGACACTGCAAAAATCCTAAGAAATGGTCTACAAGAGCTCTGGCTCTGGATCACGCAGCTTTGAGAGTAGAGGATGACAAGATGCTTCCAGACCTTCTGTCATGACAGAAACTGTGCTGGGTAGTAAGGGAGAAATTCATCAACTGGATGCAGTTGTATGGAGAGTCACCAAGATTGTTAAGGCTAGAAAACTTGTATTTCAGAAGAGACTGAGAGCACTGGGCTTTTCCTGTCTGGAGGGTAAAAGGTCTGCATGGAACACTCAGCAGCACTGCATCCTTCCCATGTGGAAAGTTAATATACATGATACAAAACATAAGGAGAAAAGGCAATGGGCTGCTATATGCTCATACGGAGAAATTTTTCTAGCACTGAAACTAAAGTTACTGAGTCAAAACTTCATTTTCCTTCTAAACCATTTTTTTTTTTTTTTTTTTTTTTTTGTGTTTTGCAGTTCCAAATTGAACCACTTTTGCTTGTTGTGTGTACCTAATGGAACAGTTCTAAAAAAAACCAAAAAACTAAAGACCTAATTTTTAGGTGAGTGATGCTATCGGAGAGAAAGTAAATCCCTGGTGATCAGTGGGTGCACTTCTAGGATCCAGATGGATGTTGTTTCTCTTTCTTACAACCCAAAGGAATCTAGGAAGATGTGTCACTTGCTACACTAAACGTAACTCATGGTAGTAATTTATATGGTAATTCCAGATGAGATAAATTAACACGCAGCACCTCTTCACTGGTAACTGGAACACAGTGGTGTGAATATCATCATGAATTCCATTCATATGAGACACTGAGAAACATAGTAAAACAAGTGACAAATAACTCCTTTTGGCTCATCTGTTCTCAGTCGTATAGAAGCTTCCTTCCTTCTTGAAAGGGACCAAAATCAGGCCTTAACATACACTAGCAAACACTTAAGCAGAAATAAAAAGCATGTGGTGCTTTAAATCACAGCATCACTTGGGAAGTTATTCAGGTGAAGTACAGTGGAAACAACACAAAAACTCACTGCAAGCAAATAATTACTGGTCATATACAGTGGTCTGTATTCCCAAGAAATCTGACTGTCATATTTCTGCTTTCTACATCCAATTAGCATGCCTATGTGACAGGAAAAAATGGTTTAACTGGAGCTCTAAGTAAGTAATGAGTTCAAACATAGCAGCAAAAGGATATTCATACAGATTGGTTTGTGTTGGAAGAGTCCTTTAAAGACGGGCAAGCACTGGCAAAATTGCTAGGCTGGATGCAAGACTGTCTCTTTGTCAATAAGGCTTTATAAATATGTGCTGGGGTGTATCTGTGGGGAATGCTCTTCTCTCGTTCTGGTGCCTGAAATCTCACCTACACATAATATGGTAAGAAGAAATTTGGCAGCAGCTCCTCTGCTGAACAAGATTCGCAAACTACATGTCTGTCCTGCAATGGTTTACAGATCTTCAGCAGGAATAAACGCAGTTGGTCTAGTTTTTCCTCCGTGCACTGCTGCCAGGACTCCACCGTACAACAGAGAGCTATTGCATCCACACCTATGGGAGGAACTGCAAGTGCAGCCTCCTAAATTGATGCAACGCCCCTTTCTCTGACTGAAAGCTCGACAGTCACCCCTTCTGCCGCTGAAGAGCCACTGGAGGGCGATGCTGCACGCCGAATTTGTGCTGCAGGGAGCTGTAAATGAATGCTTAACCACGACGCAATGTAGTGTAGGAATCCTAGAGCCGAGCTGGGCAGCAGGAAGTGTGTGTGCGTGTGTGTGTTGCGTGAGACCTTGTGAGTGGCAGAACAAGTGCAATGCTTTTAACGGCTATGTCTGACGTTCTGCTCGGTGCCAGGCACCAGAACCACCCGTGGCTGCCTGCTACCCGTGGAAAGGCAGCTGCCTTACAAGGAATGTGTGCACATACAGGCACCTTCAAGGAGAGGTCTGCATCCTGTCTGAAGCTTGTAAGGGTAGGATGCATTGGCCCGTCGAGGTGGCAGTCGTGCAGTGCCAGTGAGAGCAGCTCGCTCTCTCCACGTCTGGTCCCCAGGTGTGTCCCTGAGCCCACTGCAGGGATGCTCTTAGCTGCACTACTGTAAGTAGAAGCACAGGACAGCATGTCCTGTTTTCTGTTTAGTGAGATCACTTGTGATGCTGTTGGCATGAGGCCACAGACATTCTCTGTTTGCAAATATGATGCTACCAACTCCAGGATGTAATGCCTGTGATGCATACGTGCCGCTCTCGTGTACCATGTGGAAATGCAGTTTTCAAACTCCTCTGAACATCACTGCTTACTATCAGCTTCCTCAGCTGTGTGTGTCATGCAATTATTGAAATCAGTTTCAGTAATGATATGCTTCCCAAGGCCTAGGGAATTGTACACAAGTGCTTTATAAGACTCTGCATACACTGGCCAATGAAATATTTTGTGCAGTAATTGCAGCAATTCTGAAACGTTGCTCAGGCAATAAAAAAAAATAGGACTCAAGTCCCAGTGCCTGTACTTGAAATGTTGCTTGTAGAGAAGGTATAACTCAGCCTCGAGGTAAAATTCCAGTTTCCCAAGTAGTTTTCCTCACCTTGTAACGCCTGAAAGCAGTCTGGAAATAAGTGGGTGGTGGAAATCCCTCAGATGTCACGATCTCGTACATGCAAGCTGTTGGTTTTACTGTTGGTTATACACAGTACAGTAGAAACTTGTTATTGTGAATCTTATTCATGTGCAATGTTACACTCTCAACGACGTTCTCTCTTATAAAATTCAGAATTAGGAATTCCAAAATATTGACCTGTGTTTGCCAGGATCTGGGAATAAGGAATGGCCACCAGGGCTCTGCAGAACAGGAGCCCTGGGACAGTTCTGAATTGGCCTTATCTTCCCCCAAAAGCAATTCCCGGGTTAGGAAATTTGAGAGCTATTTGTCTAAATAATAATGAAGTCTAAACAGCTTTGGAACCAGCTCTGAACAGTGACGTGAAGCTAGCACTGCTTGACCTGTAGCTTTCCAATAAAAAGGATTAGACAAGAATCTCTTCACTTTTCTTGGATTTAACTAAGGCGTTGTGGAGATCCCTCTAGTTTCCACAGGACATTTTTCCTTTGAGGCAGTGTCTCACTGTCCCCTATGTTAGGAGCTTACAGCTGGGCATTATTAGCTGCTAATTCCAAGGAGAGAAAGCTTGGGGCTCTGATGTGCAGTGGAGCCAATTTAAGCACACTTAAACTCATGTGCTAAGCTGCATCACAGCTATTTGCCAGACACCAATTTTATAACTGCATCTACTGAGGCCTTATTAAAATCATCCCAAGTAGTTTCCCAGAGAGATAAACTATTTAATGATATTAAATAGTTTGCCTTGGGTCACAGGCTACAGAAAACTGAATGGAATTTACACTTGACTTGACAAAAATCAGAGTGATTATTTCTAATAGATGTAGTAATTTGTTTTGTGTTTCCTCTTAGCAATGAGACATTTCCTCTGGAAGAAATGTGGAGTTTGTTTGTTTGTTTTAAGTAGGAAATGTTTCAAGATTGCAGTTCAAAGACACAACTAAAATTCAGCACTGGTTCTCTTGGCATCATTATCATCATTCAGGAATTTTCAGTCATTCCCTTATAGTTACCAGCTTCACGTGCCTGTTTTGCACAGTTCTTCACTTCTGCCTCCCAGTAGAAACCATTCTTTTACATGAGAAATACATTAAACACCTGGAGACAAAACTTGACAATCCCATGCTGAACTTAGATGTCCATCACTGACAGTCTGTTGAACGGGTGGACTTACATTTAAAAAGAACTTCCACAGTAAGATAGTTGAAATGTGACAGTATACATTTTGGAGCAGATTCGGGCCTCACAATTGCCACAAACAAACAGGTCAAGTAGTCTTAAAATTCATGGGGTTTGCTCTGCAGCCTCATGACATAAGGTGTAATAGAAGACCAAGACTTGAATTTTCTCGATGGCTTCAGAAAGCCAAACAAAAACTCAGACTGAAAGCACTGTTGACAAGGGAAGTCACTCAACCTGGGCACACATCCACCTGCTTACCAGCCCAAGTGTCTCTCATTGTGTCCAGTGTGTTAACCTGCCCGCTTTGGTCTCCCTGCAGTAATGCCCTCAGACCACTTGCCTTCAGCAGCAGATTAACAGCGGCACCGAAACGTCCATGACTTCAAAACAGGAGGATCCTGGCATAGCTGTGGGTGGCAAAGGAAGGTGGTTATTGAAGCGGGTTGGGGAAGGAAGAGCTGCCTCCCCAGCCTGGTAGTTGTGCCCTGGTTCTCCTGTCTCTTTGATACGAGTGCTAAGTCCCAGCTC